ATGAATAAATATACCACTAATAATTATTTTTATCTTTTGATTGCAGGTTAATGAAGAATAAATCTCAAACTCTCATCTCTCAACAAAAACCCATTGATTAAATGAAGAAATGAAGCAAAGAAGCACATTGGAAAATCAATTTCCAAATTATCCAAAAGCCCAGAATGAAGTCGTGTAGCCTGTAGAAGCCGGAGAAAATCAAAAATCCAATATGAAAAGAAATCATATTCAAAATGGTTGGCCACAAAGAAACGACGATATCTCCTAATCCGGAAGGCGGAATTTAACATATAATATATGAAAATCGCCTATCTCGACGAGACGAAGCTATCCGTGAAATCAGAATTTGGAAATAGTAGGCATCGATGTCGGCATCGATGTGGGCATCGATGCTGGCATCGATACCTGCATCGATGCCTGCATCGATGCCAGATTACTGTAGCGCGCGTCAATGGCTGATTTTGCTTGTCTTGGGGCTCAAGTTTGATCCAATGGCTCTCATTCACTGATGTTTACTATAAATAGGGGTAGAGAGTGAGGGGTTAGAGGTGTGAAAATTTTGTAAACTCCTTTTGGAGAGGAGGGCTACTCTTAATTGAGAAGGCCTTCCAAAATTGTAACTTTAGTTGCAATTAATAATAATAATTTTTTCACCACTTTAAATATTTCTTCTCTTTGTTGGATGATGAAGATGGAGATGAAGAATTATTTAGAGGTTTGCATTTTCTTTCCTTTTTCTCTTTTATTTCCTTTTTATTGCTTATTAGTGTAGATTTATTTCTATGCTTGTAGTTTAGATTTTATTTTCTTGTTAAATAGCCAAGAGGCTAGAACCCTCTTGCCTTAGATTTATTTCATGCTTATAGAATAGATTTAATTTCTTGCATTTAATTCTTGCAATTTTATTTTGTAGTTTAGATTTTGCAATTTATTTTGTAGTTAGATTTTAATTTCTTATACTATTCACCTTGAGGCTAGAACCCTCTTGGGTTTAGTTTTTCTTTTTGTTTATTTTTATTTTGTTTGATTCGCCTTTAGGCTAGAACCCTCTAGGGAATCACCCTTTTCTAAGAAGTGGGTTCAATTGTAGATTACCCATATCTATAATTGAATCCACCATCTTTAATTTCTTGCATTTTCTTTTATTCTTGAATTTTATTTTCTTTATTCTTGATTTTTATTTTCCTTTTCCTTCTTGCCTTATTGATCATATTCATTCTTTGTCACATCCACTCTCACTTATATCTCGTGCCGATTTACACACTATCACTTCCACTCTCTCTATCTCTCCACAATCACATTCACTTATCACTCCTACTTGTCACACACACAACATAAGAACCGATTTTATATTTTCTCCTACAAAACACCTTCCTCGTGGGATCGATATCTTAAATACTATAACTTGACACGGTTGTGCACTTGCAACCTTTTTGGTACATGTTTATGCCGCATCAAGTTTTTGGCGCCGTTGCCGGGGAAGGTGCTTAAGTAGGTTTTAATTATTTTGGTTCTTTAACTTGTGTGTTTATTGTGAAAGAACTACTTGGAGATTAAAGATCAAGAATTGGAGATTGAGGAATTGGATATTCGCTTGTGGTAAGTCTTCTTCCTTATATTTTCAATTCCACACCTTTAGTTAGTTTCTCACAATTAGTGACAAATAGGATCTTAAAAAAAGATTTTATTTCCGTTGACCATAATAAAATTCACCCTTAAGTTTGACATTTACTAACAAGATAATAAATTCAAACAAATCCCCCCTTCTGATAATAAATTCAAACAAATTCCCCATTCTCTTTTGTTTGATTGTTAACCCTAATTAAAAAAAAGATTTTTCTTTTCCATCCTTTTTAGTTGCTTTTAATTCATAGGGTTGCATTTCATATAGTTAGTAGGAATTCACCAAGTGATTTGAGCATCTTGATTTGGCACACACTTCAAAATATTTTTAAGGGCAAAACCCCATAATCAAGATAAGGTGAGGGATTTCATCACCCTTACCTTAGCCCAAAAATCACTAATTCCTCACTACACCATCCAAGCCTAATAAAACTCATTAGACGTTGGCCCCTAAGGATTCGAGCTCAATAAGGAACAAGAAATCCTTAAGTGAACCGGTTTAAGTTTTCTCAGATTAGTTGGTGTCTAAGGTAAGGTTTAGGGGTTGCGTAAAGCGCTCCGCAAGGAACGAGGTACTTAATTGATCTCTGATCACCCTCTAGTACTATCCTTACCTGGCTAACTACCCGGGTAAAACTTTTATCTTTTCACTTAAGGAATTTTTGGTTAGGAGCTAGTCTAGTTGAGTTAGGCTTAACCCTAGAGTTAGAGTGATTGAAAAGTGATTGATTTTGATTTATTTTAGTTAGGATTTTCCTTTTTCATAAAAAAAAAACTAACTTTTATTTTTTCAAAAAAAAAATTTATATAAAAAGAAATTGTTTTTGGTGCATG